GCACCGGGAGCACATCCGCCCTGCCTCCTTCTTCACTGACCCTGGTGTCTTCACATATTCTCAGTCCTCCATCTCTGTGCCAGCTGCTGTGGCACTGTTCTTTTTCTCATTTCTTAAATATGTTATCACAGAGGCGTTCCTCTCCTCTCACTTTACTGACAGGCTCAGCCTTGGTGCAGCAGCAGATCTCTCTTTGGAGCTGGTTGGCATTGGCTCTACCAGACTCAGGGGAAGCTTCTAGCAGCTTTCTGCAGAAGCCACCCCTAGAGCTTCCCCTGCCGCCAAAATCCGGCCAGGCAAAATCAATAAACTGCCTTACCATGGTCTTCACTATGGGCTGCTGAGGAGCCTCTGTTCCAGTGCCTGGAGCACCTCCTCCCCTTCCTTCCTCATTGACCTTGCAAGTGCCTACGGAGTTGTTTCTTTCACATATTCTCACTCCTTTCTCTGCCTGCAACTGCCCAGGTTTGCTTCTTCCCCCTTCTTAACCATGTTATCACTGAGGTGTTACCACCATCACCATGAGTTTGGCCTTGGCCAGTAGCACGTCTGTCTTGGAGCTGGCTGGCACTGGCTCTATTGGACATGGCAGAAGCTTCACGCAGATTCTCACAGAAGCCACCCCTGCAGCCCTTCCACTATGATACAATCTTTTAACTATCCAAATCTTCAAGTCTATGCTTCCAGTGCCCAAGTCATTTTTTAAAATGTCCATTAGATCCTAAGCCAGTTACATACTTTAAAATTCATACCTAGAGCATCTTTGCTCAGTACCTTTACAATGTTACATTCAAATGGTATAAAATTTATTGAAGCAGACAACCATTTCTGTGATCAGCTAGCAAAAGCAGTTATGTAAAGATCTGATCTGGACTGGAAGGTCAGACTGTGTAGAATTTAAATGCATATGCATACTCAAGAGTTCAAAGCTAAGCAAGTGGCCCAGATGAATTTAATGAGATGACTAAGGAAAGAGGAATAGAACTTGGCTTTAAGGTTTATGTATATTGTATGTGTAACAAGCTAGACTATCTATCAGGTGCTGTTGATCAGTATTAGTAATACCTCACATTTAGAAGCAACGTGCTTATTTTTTTCAAACAACTTCTTTTTTTTTCTACAGAACTGTCATGTTATAAAATCATATAGACAACAGAGAGAACAATCCGTCTTTGATTCAAATAACAGAAAAAAAATGGCCCAAGAATGTGACTGCAATCAGCCTTAGAAACTGGCCAATATATTTCATTACGTGTAAACCAGTTGTATTATTTACGTTAATGTTGGTCTCAAACAAGTAGGGTAGAACTACGCTTTAAAAAGTGCAGAGACCAACAAGAGGTGTAGAAGATTGGAAAAGAGATCTCTTCCACACCTTGATCAGCCTTTAGCTAACAGTCCAGACTCGCATTAACATAAAAAGAAAAAATGTTGACAGTCATTAGGTAGGTCACCTCTTAGACAGTCATGGGATGGGCATGTAGGGACACCATATGTCCCAAACTCAGGAATCAATGTGGGGTGAAGGAATATAGGTTCTTTAGATGCTCTTTTATGCCATATCCAGCTTTCTGCCCATATGGTGTTGTTTCTGCTTTATGTCACCAAAATGTAAATGCTTCCATTGTTTTATCGACCAGAAATTTCTTAAGCTAAATAGTACTTATTTTTAGTAGACAACTTCATATGATGGAAGAATGAACCTAATATCTCAAGAATTATTCAAACTATGCAGATTAGCAAGTGACTTCTCTCACATCAGCTGCACCTATGTTATCCTGCCAAAATCTGCTTGCTTTATCTTTTTCAGGCTAAGAGTTTATTTCCTGTATATTGCACCATCTGTCTTGTGCAGACAAAATCTACAATGGGCAGTCACTGTGACTTTTGCTTTGGTGAAAAAGTTATTATTCAGCATCAAAGCATTCTTTCTTTGCTTGCATCTCTTTGATTCCGCCTTGAAGAAGAATACATGCATACAGAGAGATGGCAGCCTACTTACTGTGCACTGTATGAATTCCACAAATCTTGACTAAAACATGCATAAAAAGCATATATTAAGTGTATATTTCAAAAAGCACAAATAGCAGTATCCCTACTGTATAAGCAACTCCAAAAATAGCAATGCAGCACTTGTACCACCAACAGATGTATTTCAGAAACAATTCCACATTTTTCCTCTAAGAGCACAGCCTCAATACTGCAAACATTGTCAGCGTGCAAGCAAAATAAATGTAAAATATTACTTTTTGCTGAATGCTTTTACTATAACTGCCAAATCATCATTTACTGAAGGTTTGAGCTTTAATTTGAGCACAAATGTAGTGACTTGAATTGTGACTATTATCTGAGCAAGTAATTTTTTCTCTACCCAGGAAAGCCCACAGAAAGAGACAAATAGCTCACATCTAAGCTTAAATTCAGCAGGTAATATGGATTCAGATGGCTCAAGTCACTTTATTCTTCAGCTGAGGCAGAGGAGACTGAGCAAAGGAAACAGGGGAACTGACAGATGGAAGTCTTCTGTCCACAAACCGAGTAAGAACATGCATCAACCATATAGCTTCCTCATATAAGAACAGTCTTCTCCATGGACACACCCTTATCTCAGGGGAGAAGCTTGCATGCCTTTATGAGGTTGCGAACTATGCTGGCAGTGGCATGTGCCTCCCATAGGGTCTCCCATGCCAGACAGGTCTCAAATGAAGGGTCAGACTAAGCGTGTCCACAGGTAGGATGTGCTCACTACCCTCCCAGCAACCGTCCTAGGAGAAGGACAA